CGCACAAGCCACGGCGAGGTCCACCAGCAAGCTTCAGCACATTTTCAGAGAAGGGGCAAAAACTCGAGCTTTAGAGCCCCCAAAACTCCAAACCCCAACTGGCGTCCCACCGAGCAACCTCTGAAGCCTCGAACCTCTTAGCCGGTTTGGGCACGCATGCTGCGTGCTCTGGGTGTCAATAGGGCATGCCAAGTGCCCTGCGTACGTCTTGTCTGTTCGGTATCTCAGGATTGAGAGATTGCGAGAAGGTCAGAAGAGTTAACAAGTTGAGCCTGCATATCAAACAACGAACCTCCTTTAGAACTAGGTCTCAGGCAGAACCTGTGGTAGATCTTCATGGTCCTCGAGGCCGACAAGAAGCTCGGCTTCACATTCCAAGATTTGTTCTTCTTGCTTGGCCGTTAGCACATAATAGTTGTCACCCTTAGACCCATTAGGCACTTCAGAAGCTACTTAAGTGACATTTACCCGGACAGAATCAATCATCACCACCTCTTCAGATCTCTGTCATGCGACGTGGGAAGCGGCTCACTTGGCTCCTCAGCCAGCATATCGGCAGGATGACGGCTTCCATCGTCATCATCCGCTGCATCCATCATGTTTGGAAGGAAGCCATGAGCAAACCGCACAATTCTCCAACAGTCCTCTTTAGATAGCTCGCGCTGCGTTCCTACATAAAGGTTTTTCATCAACAGATCCCTCTGAAGATTTCTTTCCACATCCGGCGGTCCCTCCAAACGCTCTTCCAGAGTCAGAATGTTGGCATTCCATCGCGATCATCTGGTGGCAGGTCAGCGAACACCACTTCCCTCTTGATGAGCACATGGTCTTCTGGACGTGAGGCCACTTGGACTAGGTATGTTCAGAACTTTCGCTTGCCTCATGAAAGCAGCCTCTGAAAGGGCGTAAGGCCAAAGTTTGGGACTGAGGCGTCCATGCAACATAGCGATCAGTTTCATCTGTTGAATCATCCATTCTGTGCGACCATTACTCTTTGTGACCCATAAACCCCAACTTTCCAGTGATTCCACAAAACCTCTCACCCAGAATTCTAATGCGTTATCAGAGTGAATCCTGAATACACTTGGCTTTCCACCCGTCATAGAAGTGATTCTAGCCAATACTTGAAGTGTAGCTTCTCAGTGATAGTAATTGTTGCAGTTTGGATCCAACTATCGACATGTGCGTCATCAATGCAACTGCGCATGAAATCCTTACATTCACATCGAAATACAGCGACTGGATCTACTTGTGCCCTGAAAATTCTGACGGATAAGGCCTTCGCACTGGGGAGTTCTGCTGGACTTGAGCCCGAACAGCAGACGTGGTTTTGCTGGGCCTGGGACTGAGTAGCAAACGGCCAGCCGTCCGAAGGATGACTGCAAAACACCATTCATGAAGAAGCAGATGATAAAGAAGTGCAGGCGGGGGTTGTACGATCCAGACTGTTCTGATTGTCATCGGTCCAGAGGACTCCGTAGGCCATTTTGGCGATTACGCCCAGATGAAGTGGCTCGGGGAACTTTGGCGATTGATGTATCAGGACCACACTTACAAGCAGCAAACGACGTACGGTACGCGCTGATCACAACCCTTACATTGGAATCCGGTGAAAGTTTACCTTTCGTAAAGCACCTCCGGAATCGCAAACATCAGAACATCCTTACGGTGTTCAAGCCGCATCGCGACAAGTTCAACGATCCAGATACACAGAACCTCTGTTATGGCCTATCGAGGTATAGTGGAGGTGAAATCTGGGTATGCGACAAAGCAATGGGTCCTGAGGATAAGGGGTTGACATGGCAGGTTCCACATGATGGATAGCCAGCCAAGCCAGGACGTCTGCTGTCTACGTGTCGAAAGATTGCCAAGTTTAGCCCGAAGACTTTACATGGTACACACTGTTGGATTGGAATTTCCGATGCAAACTGGATTCCACTGCAGCAACAGCAGCAACGGCATTGCAGCAACCGCAGCAATCACAACATTCGAATTCTGAAGTCAGCTCTTCTCTCTCTTCTCAGGGATTCAAGGGTGGGTCATGGAGCTAGAGGGCGTGATGTAGTTGTTAAGCCTATTGTGGTGGAGCCAGGATTGGACAAGTTCCCGTTGCCCGTGGAGTGCTCAGGTCTTGATAAGGATGGTGATACCGATGAGGTTAAGGGAGATTTTGGAGTGGGACTCGGAAGAAGATAAAGGGGCAGGGGATCGGTTAGAGTCTGCGTCGCTGATGGATGCAGCTGTGCCGGAGACTGCTCCTGCCCCTCTGTTTCGAGTACATCTGCTACTGATCTCTCGGCCACGGTCCGCCAATGCGCTGCAAGCGATGCTCATTTGCTTGCTCGCTGCTGCGCCACTTCCTTCATTTTGGATTTTGAAGCCTGGATTTCTAGGCATTTCTCTAGCGGACATTGGGCGTCACGGATTTTGAGGACTCTTTGAGGGAGCCCATGCTAGGCAGCTGGGGCCTTTGGACATTTCTAGGCATTTCTCTAGCAGACATTGGGCGTCATGGATTTTGAAAACTCATTGAGGGGGCCCATGCGAGGCAGCTGAGGGTCCTTGGACATGACTGCCCAGATTTCCTTCATTTTGGGCTTTGGAGCTTGGATTTCTAGGCATTTCTCAGCAGACATTGGGCGTCACGGATTTTGAAAACTCATTGAGGGGGCCCATGCGAGGCAGCTGGGTCCTTGGACATGACTGCCCAGATTTCCTTCATTTTGGGCTTTGGAGCTTGGATTTCTAGGCATTTCTCTGGCAGACATTGGGCGTCACGGATTTTGAAAACTCTTTGAGGGGGCCCATGCGAGGCAGCTGGGGTCCTTGGACATGACTGCCCAG